TATATTATGCCTGTCTATGGATCTATATAGACGAGTGAGTTTATCTGAAAGGACTGGCTATGAGCGAAAATTTGCAACCTTCGAAGTATATCCCAAGCCCGCCTTCTTTTACGGCTGCGGTGTCTGTTCATGGTTGCGATGTCTGCCTGGTGCATTCGACTCCTATATTTCACTTTTGTTTCTATTTGTCTACTCCAATCCCTAATAGATTTCTTCCCTTCCAAACTTATCTATCTCACTGAAACTCAACATCAACCATATACTTCTACTTTCACCATTTGAACGACAACTTGAGCTTCTACAACTAATACAACTACTCCAAACTACGCTTAAAATGACAGCTAACACCAAACCCATTCTCACACTTGAGGATCACGAGAATCCCATCATCACGCCTGATGACCACACCAATCCCATTCTCAACCCTGAAGAGCAGCAGTGGCTTTTGATCCACCTGCAAGATTGTGTTCACCCAGATAGCCAGCTGAAGAAACAGCACTTCACAACCGTGGCCAGTTACCCTCTTGCTCCTTCTCGTCGCCCCGCCGGGGGCGTGATCAGATACAATGAATTTATGACGACTCCCCCATCAAACCCAAGCCAAACCAGTCGAAAGGCCATTGCCATTGACTGTGAGATGGTCGGTGTTATGGGCAATCGCCGTGAGCTTGCCTTTCTGGTAGTGGTGGACCTCCTCACAGGAGAGGTTCTCGTCAACCATTTCGTCCACCCCACCAACACTGTTCGAAACTGGCATACCAGATGGAGCGGTGTAACATGTGCTGACATGAAGGCTGCGGTCAGGAAGGGGGTTGCAATTAAAGGTTGGAAGGCAGCTCGGGCCATGCTTTTTGAGCATATGGATAGCAGGACTATTCTCGTTGGTCACGCCCTCCATAATGACCTGAACGTCCTGGGCATTATACACTCCACAGTCATCGACACTGCGATTCTCACTGCCGATGCGGTGTATAAACCGCTTGCAAAACCTTTCCGCCGGACTTGGAGTCTCAAAACCTTGGCCAATGAGTTGATTGGTTACAAGATCCAGAGAGGGAAAAATGGACACAGTGCGCTGGAAGATACGATGGCCACCAGGAGTGTGCTGATTTATTGCACCAGAAACCCTCTGAAGCTAGAGGCTTGGGCCGATAAGGCCCGAGGAGAGGAACCGGTCCAGCACGAAGAACCGATCCAGAGCGATGATTCGGAGTGGTAGTTTCAGTAACAAAGCTCGAGACAGACATTTCTATAGTTGAACTTTCTTTTTTTCTTTTAGCTTTTCGACTAAATTGATCAATAATAAGCTAAGTTGATATCAAAAACGTAGGTGATTTAGGGATTTGGCGTGATATTTCGCCAATAATAGTAAAGTGTTCTACGAAAATATATACCCAATAAACATCCTTAAAGATGGAAGATCTTTTAGAAAGGCGTAGAGCTAGTTTAGTTCGATATAGGTAGGGCAATCTCTCGTATTGGAATCTAGGGTTTCTATTACGGAGCTGAAAATCAAGACAGGAAGGGGAGAAAAACTAGGGCAGAGATGACCTCTCAAGGAACACACCGTGCAGTATTGAAATTTGCCTTGTGAAGATTGGAACCTTCCAGCCCTAGAAAGTCATTACACTGCAGTTTATCTTGGGGTTTCTCTAAACATAATCTCCACAGAAACCCTGGCTTCATACTATAGCCATATGATCTTCTCGCTGATAAACTCATCTTTAGCATTCAGAACTCAACCTACCAGACCTTGGTCCTAGCCCTACCCTCTTGCCAGGCCCTTGTCCAGTCCTTTGATACGATTGTTAAACCTCCTTTCATTACACATTATCATAGGCGATTGGTTTCCTTTCAGACTCGAACCATTTTTGCCATAGTTTTTGGGTTCCTAATGGGGGATCGAAACTATGCGGGGTGCATGCGTTTTAGCAAAATCCGGCAATTCCTGCAAGGTGGAATATTGATGCGCTCGGGCAGTTTGATTTACGACACGATATAGAAAACCGAATTAGTGACCTGTTCTGTGGGAAAATGCCGAGAAGCTAATTTGCAATTTCTTGTTAAAAGGCTCTCTATTACATATTGAGATATAGGCCTTTCGTGGATTATGGATTTCTCTTCCACGACCCTGAGCCATCGCAATGAAAGTTGATCATAGACCCCCACTAGGCTGACTCGTTTTGATCTAGTGGGAAGATCTACAATGAAAATGATATGAAGGGTGACACGGATTCGGACGAATCTCGGTTTGAACCTCGGGAAACCGGCTCACGAAGAGGTACGGGTGTTGGCAGACCGGGAAACTGATCTGGAGTAGCTGCGATTTCTCCGGCTAGGAGGGCTTTGGCCTCGGCGCGGCGGTGTGACAGACCGAGTAACTGAGCGACGAGATCGATAGGGACTGTGACTTGGGCTTCGCGAGTAGGAGCGGGAACGTGCTCGACTACGCTTGGCCGGTGTACGGGAAATGGATCGGGATCGGGATCGTCCTGCGGGGGCCCGGGAGCGACTGTCTGATACGTCACGACGGCGACGGACTGGGGACCGACTGTCTGATGCGTCACGACGGCGACGGACTGGAGACCGACTGTCTGATGCGTCACGACGGCGATGTACTGGGGACCGAGAGCGTGAAGGTGTGTAGCTGTGACCCCGGGAAGAGGGAGTGAGGGAACGAGAATAGGAACGGCCGCGGTCCCTAGAAGGAGAGCGGGAGTACGAAGGTGACCGGGAACGGCGGGAGTGAGGAGATCCAGTGCACGTTGAGCACATCGAACGAGACGAACGAGACGAACGAGATCGATCAGATGGGGTGTGCGAGGGGCTTCGAGAGGCGGCTCGCGTAGGCAAAGCGGGCACGGTAGGACGGGGAATGGTTTTCAGGTTCTCACGCATGTCCTCTGTCAATACACCCATACCGATACTAGTGAAGTAGTTGACAGAGAACCTAGTGTGACGTGGGTTGTCCGTCGGGAAGAGACCCTCAAAGCTCGGCCGCAGTATATCATCCCTAAAGCGGGCCTGAAGTCCAGGCAGACCAAGGTTCTCGGCGAGGTTTTGGAATAGGATTTTGATAAAGATACGGCTGCTGGATGTGGTCTCCTCTTCGTTAAGATGAACCACAGATAAGACATGCCAGCCAATCGCATCGTTGCTGATGAGGTGGCCGAAGAACTGGGCAATGTTGCGTAGTTTGTTTGTTTCGTAACGATGGATGGTATCGTAGTACTTGGCAAAGGCCGCCTCAAACAGATCTGACCAAAGTCGGTTGATCTTGGCGAATCGTTCTCCGATCAGGCCATAGAACTTGGAGTATGTCCGCTCCTGAGAACAACATTCAATGATCATGGATGGAAGTTCATGCTCCAACCCGGCCGGCAGGTTGATCTTCATCAGCTTGTGGCAACATTCTTCGAAATCAATGCTGGACATGATTGTGAGGTAGATTGTTCGTCGAAGGTTGACTAGATCAGTATTACTCTGATCCTTAATATCCATCTGTACTTCTTCCGTATCGGATTCTTCTTCTTCGCTCTCATCTGACCTGTCCTCATTTTCCTCGTCACTATCCTCGCCCAGAATCTCGGCCTTCAATTTCTTATAGGCCTCCTCGTGTTCCTCCCACTCCGCATCGTACTTGAAGATGTTGAGAGTGTCTTGAGTTTCCAGCTCGTCATCCAAGCCGGCACGGTGTGTGATCTGATCTTCCTCTTCCACTAGGTCCAACTCCTCCTTGATTGCTGGGTTGTCCTTGTACCGATCCTTGCGCACCTGAAAGAGCACTTCGATCATATATTGCACACGCTTATCAATATCGGCCTCGTGTAAAATGTTTCGGAATTGGTCGAATACGGCAAGTGCGATAGGAGCGTTCATTTCCTCCAGATGCTGACCGACTTCACGAGTGAGACCCACAGCAATCTCCACGCTGTCGTCCGTTGGCTTATGCAAAAGAAGCAACAGGATCTGAGCTGCCAACATCTCGTGGGCAACTTGTTGATTGCAGAGGTGCGCGATGAAAGTCGTAGAGGAAATGCAGACTGCCTTGTCATTTCGCTTGAAGGCCTTGCGGAATTGAACAATCAATCGGGCAAGCAACAAATCGCCAACCTGCGGAAGCTTGGTGTTGACGATAGATGCCATCGCTGCGTAAATTGGAGTGAAGGGCAAACTGGCCGCCTGCGCCTTCATGATCGACCGACAGAACAATCCTCGGCCTCTTACAAGATTTTCCGCAAATAGCTCTGGAACAATGAACTTGATGTTGGAAACGTTAATTTTGTTGATAAGACCATTGATCGACTTCTTCAAGGCTTCCCATGCCATGCGCTGATATTCCTTGCTCGTTTTATCCGTAATTTGCGCCTGTAACGCACGGAGCCGGGCCGGAGGGATGTAAGTGCCACCAGATCGCATGGTGAGCAGCTTTTCGTACTCTGCCTTTGCCGAAGCCTGCTTTTGTTCCTCGGTCATCGGCTTGCGCGCTGCTTCGCGCTTCTCATGTTCGCGAACACGTTCAGTGAGTTGCCGTTCTCTGTCGTCGGCATATTCTGCATCGGCTTTGGGAACATCGGGACCATCTCGAAGGGAATCACCGGGAGGGGATCGGCGACGATTTGGAGGAGGGGAACGAGATGGAGGTGAGCGTTTTCGAGAGGCTGCGGCTGGCGAGTACGACGCGCCAGGTGGAGGCGTGGGCACGCGCACCGCAGACTGGAGAACATCCAAATCGGACATCTTCAATGAGTAGAGAGGCCTCCGGGGTAGCTAGAAAGTTTGATGTACACCGGAGGAACGGTGGTTGTGAATCTCAGCCGGACTGAGGTTACAAGATGATTCAAGGACGCAGCAGGAGAAAGCTCTAGCGCGGTGCACGTGACCAGAGGCCAACTTCGAATAACGGGAGCTCCTGAGATTCCTGGTAGTTCTGTCCAGCCCAGGATTCATCCACGTTCCTTCATATTTCTTTTCTTTTAACAGTGCCGCTCTTTATCAGAATGGTAAATTATCTAGTCTTATCCAATGGACATACCCCACTGACTGTGCTTTAGCTGGGCCAACTCGTGGGATCCGTCATGCTTCTGGTCGCGACTGCGATCTTTCTCTACTACACCGCGTGGACCCTGTTGATGGTATGCTAATTTATGATAATATTTACTTTTCTATACTCATTTTTGTTCCACAGCCCTTCGTCGACCCCGGCCACCCGCTCCACGACATCTTCCCGCCTCGTGTTTGGGCCATCCGCATCCCCGTCATCCTCACACTCTTGGCTTCTGCTGTGGTAGGCACCTTTATCGGAATTGTCATGATCAATAGCAACAAGAAGAAGGCAGCCAAGGCTAAGGCCGCGGCCAATAAGAAGAAGACCTAAGCGACCCTGGATATCATATCAGGAGAGAGGGCAACCCTCTGTGACAACATTCTGTACCATCAACCATTTCGAAGCTCAGTGGCTATCAAAACACGTCTCAAGTTAATTAATTTTGTTACATTGACCGCCTTACAAACACTTTCAGGCTGGATATACTGAACATGGCCCGCAAGAATAGTGGAGGATAAAGCGGCCATATATATGTAAATATATATGAACCGAATTACCACGTAGCCCTAACGAAAGAGCTCAAATTTCCTAGCTCAAACAGCATTTGCTGTCAAAGCCCAGACAAGTCGTCATCTTTGGCCATGCCGCAAATGCCCTGTGACCTCTGGCTGGAGCCAACGATGACGCCAGCCACTCCTTCAACAGGTGAACTTTATTGAATAAACAAACAAGGAATTGTCAAGAATGACCAGCAAGGACACGGATGGACTCGGCTGTTGACTTCAACCATGCAGTACCATGTCAAAGCAAGGGGACGTTTGCAGCAAGCAATCCATGACGCAAGAGATGACTAAGAGCCTTATCGGTGTTTGCATAGTTTGACAAGTTTCCCCTCATATGCGTCTTGTTCGTGTAGGCCACAAGGTGCATTGTATAGTCAGTCATAGTCAAGATTGGTGATAGAAACAAAGACAGACAAAGGAGAGTAAAGACCGAGAATCCGATCATACTTTCATTAGGAATGACACCGTCAGAGGGTTATTCCGTGCTCTGACTCAGGCCCCCCTATTACACCCTAATAGCCCCGTACCTGGCTGGTGACCTGGGGTCAGCTCCCCCCTCTTCTTCTTATCGCGAACCATAACATCATCCTTCTTCCTTGACTCAACTTCGGACTTCGACCTTGGAACTTGTGTATGCAAGTCATTTTGGATTACATTTTTCTACACCAGCTTGAACTATCTCAAGCTGTTGCTGTGTTATACTTATTTAGCAAAGCTTCCCCGCGTGTCTAGGGTGATCTCCGCTCTAGATACGCTGTTAGTGGTGTCTACGTTCACCACAACTCCCTTGTTTTTAAGGATACTGTCAAAACAGGTACGCGTCCCCAGTGCCTTTAGGTCGTTGTGATGTTTGATCACTTGATTGATTCTATGAAAGTTATCCTCCTCTTTAGTCATACCTCCCAAGCTCCCGGTTCCCAGTTAGGATCTTGAACAGAAGGATCCTGCATATCCGTTCTCAGACCACAAATAAGGTACTGAGAGCGGCTTCGTTCTGTTGCTTCTTTATCGCCTCTCACTGAGGCATCATCTATTTGAATGCTCCCGGCGGCACCTGACGATATCATCCGCCAGCACAGCCGTTTGCCCGAAGACGATAGCCCCTTCGCCCCGGACCAGCATCGGACCATACCAGAGCATGAACCAAGCGCGAAAGGCAAAAAGAAGAAGGGCAAGAAGAACAAGGTGGCCAGGGCTGCAACTGAAACCCCACCGGATGATATGTATGTGTCCACCGGTGATTGCCTGGTTTTCTGATGAATGAGTGCCATTAACACCAGATTCCACGGATAGCATCCAACCATATGACCCACTACCAGAGGAGCCTCTCTCCTGCCCAGACCCTGAACCCTTTATTGAACGTCATGTAAACCCATCTATCACGTCGCCTGTTCTGGATGTCCTCGGTTCCCTCGATGAGCCAGCAGGTGACGATCTCACTAGCCGCACCGATACGTGGGCGCAATCGGTGCCTTATGGAAAGAGCCCCCCCACCGATCTTATGGATGGGGATATACCAAGTGCATCACTACCTAGTACATCACCCTTGAACTTTCCAACAATTCAAGAAAGGAGTGGCTTCAGCCATCCTTCCTCGGCATCTCCTCAGACTCGAACTTTACCATCTAGCTATGGTAATGCCTATCGAAGTGGTCTATACTCGAGGCAACAGTCTATAGACAGAAGAAAGAGTCACTCTTACGGGAGCCCAATGAGCAATCACGCGCCTCCCCCACATCTTCCCCAGGCACATTTCTTCGGAGCACCGGACATTGAGATTATTCCAACTCAGAATCGGTCCCCCGCCGAGGGAAACTATTCATTCTGTGGCTTTGATACACTGCCTAGCTTGTCATCTAAAGGCTCGCGGACAGGAATGAACGTCTTACTGGTTGGGATCGATGGTGCCGTGGAGATCCTCGCCATCGAAGATCGCCAAACTCGGCTCGTGGGGCAGATCACTGGATTAAATGGCCGTGTAATTGAGGCCAAACTCTTGCCTGGCTACCCATCTAGTGATCCCTTTGCATCCTCTCGGCCGCATGTGGCTGTCATTATTCATGGGCCGTTGCCGCCGCACGATGAGGAAGGCCGAGTCTCGTCTGCAACATCGGACGCAAATGAAATTCCCCCTTCGACTATTCGCGGTCACTCTTACGACAAGCGCTCGCGAGACGACATCCAGTTCTACCAAACCCGAGTTGAGATTTACTCTTTCCGGACTAGCGAACATGTCTGCACCCTGTTTGCAAGTAAGCCTGTGCCATGCCTAGAAAATCTTCCCGGCCTCCCATCCTTTGCACCCTCGCCTGTGGGAAAATTAAAGATCTTCACAACTGGTGCTTACATTATCTTGGCATCCGGCGTCAGCGGGGAAGTTTATGTTTATAGACATATCCTATCCCCGGAAACAACTGCATACCAGTGCCTGGGTAAGACATGGACTGGAGTTCAATCCAAAGAAACCCGTCGTTACTCAACCTCTTCAAGTTCTACAACTGATCCAGAGGGGACTCGCACCGACTCTCCCCAGGGTTCCTCTACCCTGGAAAGGCCCATCTTAGCTGTACAAGGAAGGTGGCTTGCATTCGCTCCCCCATCCTCGGCCTACAGAGGATCGATCCAGGGCACTGTACCTTCGAGTTTAATCATCGGCAAGGTTCCGGGCATTGAAACTCGCAGTCCTCCTGCTGTCCCTTCGGTGTCGTGTGCGACAGACGTAGGAGAAGGGGAAAGTTTCTTCGACAAAATGGCCAGAGGCGTTGCCCAAGAACTCGTCAGAGGTGCCCGCTGGATGGGTGATCAGGGAATGCAGGCCTGGAACAATTATTGGAACACCCAGCAACCATCCGGCAGCTCTCCACGTCGGCCACCTCAGGGATTGGACTTCCAGACACAGGGGTATGGATTATTCCCTCCAACCCATGCTCAGGATACACAAACATCAGCAACAGAGCCTGACACCGTATCCATAATCGACCTAAGACGATTCGAAGACGGCACAGATATCCGAAATGCATTTATCCACCCAGTGTCGACATTTCAGGTTCCTAATGGTTGCAGCTTCTTGTCTCTTTCTCCGAACGGCTTGATGTTGTTCACAGCGAGTAAGAAAGGCGATGTGCAATACGTGTGGGATCTCATGCAACTCAAGCACTGCCGGTCCATGGCTTTTATGGCTGATGACCAGACGGGACAGAATCCCAATGTGCGCCAGATTGCTAGATACGCACGGTTGACTACATCGAGTATCGTTGATGTGATTTGGACGGCACCGGTGGGTGATAGATTGGCCGTGATTACACGTAAAGGCACCGTCCACGTTTTCGATCTACCCCGAAGCGCATTTCAGTGGCCCCCATTCCGCCGTGCAAAGTCTACTGCAAATAAGCCACCGGCTACCGATCCCATGGCAGATGAGATGACCAGTCAAGCTTCCGGTGGTAACCCATTGTCAGCGGCCATGAAGTTGGTTGGCGGTAAAACGCAGCCATTCTTCTCCGCTGTCCGTGGTCGTGTCCCGTCCACGGGCGCTGCATTTCCCAATATGAGTGGATTTGCATTACCTTCTGCTGCCAGTGTGAAGAGCGGGAAGGTTGTCGCCGCAGGTCTAAGCAAGTCAATGGGCGCCGCAACGGGCACTGTCAATACTCTGCGCCATGCCGGAGAGAACCGTCTCCACTTGCCGGGGCTAGCTCGAGATCCTGCACCTTCTCGGGTGACGTGGATTTGCAACAAGGGCCTTATATTCTTGGGTGTTCTGGATGCCGGGTACTTCAAGATGTACCGCCTCAAGCGTGCTACTGTACCCGGCCACAAGAGCAGGCAGCCTCACTCTATTGTTGGCGGTAAGGAGTCCCAGGTCAAACTGCCTGATAATCTTCAGGGTCCTTGCGGACCGGCTCCTTTGTCTACCTTTGATCCAGAAGTAGTAGTTCATGCCTCTATTGTTCTAGCTTCGGTCAGCTATCAACCATCTAGTGCTGCGAGATCGTTTTGCCAGCCTCTCTCGCAGGCTGAGATCGAGACAAACACCCCATACCAGCCGTTCCACACGGACCAGCGTGTCAGTTTGAGTGTCTTCTCCTCAGGCAGCGATGCAAGTGAGCCGAGTGGACAATGGGTCTTTGGCAATGATATACCGCTGATCAAAGTGCACTTGAGGTCATTCAACAGCTCCAGCGATGACCACGGCGATGACGAAGATGAAAACGCTGTCATCCATGGACATTCGCTTGGGGCTGGCGGTGATATAGAAAACCTCATCACACTTGGAAACAGCACCGGCAACGTGGAGGAAGTTGTTATCACCACCCGCCGCAAGAAGAGACACTCCGCTCCGCTGAAAGCCGACGACGGTTTCTTTGAGAATGATTGCGAGGTCCTTGACTTTGCTCGTGACCGCGTCTGATTGACTCTTTTTTGTCTGGTTTTCCTTTGCTCTCCACTCTTTACATTGATTTAGAAGTTGTGCTCGCGCGGCGTCGCTGATCGCAACTGGAGTCTGGTGCTTCTTCTTTCCTCCTTTCTCCTTTTTCGGTTTTCGTTCGCGTTGGCTTTCAACATACTAAACACTTGCATAAACCCATATTATATATCTTTCTCTCGAGGTGGGTTGTTTTCGGCTTTCTGATTTCTTTGCTCTCGGATTGACACTACACGTTTGATATCGTTCACAAACACACAAATACCCAATGACCCAGACCCCAGCCCCGAACGTTCTTATGTTCTGATAGACGGGAGACTCGGTGATGATTTACAGCCAGG